TGCAAGTTGAAGTGTATGTGTAAGTGTATGTGTATGTGTAAGTGTATGAGTAAGTGTATGAGTATGTGTAAGTGTATGTGTAAGTGTATGAGTATGTGTATGTGTAAGCGTAAGTGTATGTGTAAGTGTATGTGTAAGTGTAAGTGTATCATGTGTAAGTGTATGTGTATGTATATGTGTAAGTGTAAGTGTATGTGTAAGTGTAAGTGTATGTGTATGTGTATGTGTAAGTGTATGTGTATGTGTATGTGTAAGTGTATGTGTAAGTGTATGTGTAAGTGTAAGTGTATGTGTATGTGTTTGTAAGTGTATGTGTAAGTGTATGTGTACGTGTAAGTGCAAATGTATGTGTATGTGTTAGTGTAAGTGTAAGTGTACGTGTAAGTGTATGTGTACGTGTAAGTGTATGTGTAAGTGTAAGTGTAAGTGTATGTGTACGTGTAAGTGTATGTGTACGTGTAAGTGTAAATGTAAGTAAAGTAAGTTTAAGTGTAAAGGATTAACGGCCCTGTCAACACCAGTAAGTTATTCAACAACTCTGAGAAGATGGCACATCCACTGACTAGAATATGCTGTATTACTGCTGCTTTTTGGGTCTTGTTTTTCCTATTTATCACACTTTGTGGCTACGTTTCCTATCTCTGGGTCCTGTGGGTCTGGCAGGGCTGAAGGTTGTGTTCCACATTTTGGTCCGTCTCTCCACACTGGCATTTTGATTATTTATCATGAACCTTATCTGTTAGCCTGGACTCGTATGATACTCCCATACGTAAAACCTTTATTCTTTTATTAAAACTTTGGTGGGTAATACATCCTTGTGGCTTTTTATATTGGAAATGTTAACTTAATAATAATAATAATAATAATAATAATAATAATAATAGATTGCATTTATATAGCGCTCTATCCCATACTAGTATAAACTCTGAGGGCTTATACCTATGTTAACTTGTACATTTCAAACTAAACTTGCAGCCACTAAGGGGGGAAAAAGCCTGTGACTTGTACGAGTTAAGAGGCGAGACCTCCGAAAGTAACGCCCGTCTCTGATACCACCAAGCCAGATAGGCTGCGGGGAGCCGTGGAAACTTCACAAAACAACCCAAGGTAAAAAACGCCCGGTCTAGGATTTGAATCAGGGCCATCCGCTCTGTAGTCCAGCATGATACCAACTGAGCTAACAGAGCGCCCTGGACGTCTAGACTAAAATAAAAGAGCAAGGTCAAGGAGGAAAAAGTCCGAAGTTTTATCAAGGACGAATTGTTTTGTTTTTTTGTCTCACTGGCCATAGCAGAAGCCACAAGTCATTGTAACCTTTAAGAGCTTGTCTCCTTGTTGCTCTAAAATCAATCAAGTAAGATTATAAAGAAACTGTCTCCTTACACGCGACGCAACGTGACGTCGCGCGCGATTGTCGCGTCTGATCAGTCCATGTAGCGATCGAGGGTCTCATCGCGTGAGACAGACTGGGGGTGTGGCAGGTTTAGATCACCACCATAGGTCAGAAACTTAGCCAATGTGTGCCCACGGTCGACACGCCGTGTGTGGGGAGTAAGTGTGTGTGTGTGTGTGTGTGAGTGTGTGTGTGCGTGTGGGTGAAGGCAAGGTTTGAGGCTATGTGTCAAAAATAACTTGCTACTGTCTCTCTCTGCTCTGTTGTGAACTGCCACTTGCACACCGGATTTACCAGTCGCGCGCGACCTAACGTGGCATTGAGCATAAGGAGACACTTTTGTCGCTTCTGTTGCACGCGACTGAAAATTTGGGCGCCGCGTAGTCGCGCATAAGGATACACACTTCGCGACTGGTCGCGCGTGACACGATGTATACATAGTCTAATCCTTCCATTTCCCTTAAGAAATTATATTCTCTTCTGCGGATGCAATGGTCATTGTCCAGACATTGAATTGATGGACGAACTGTTATCATCATTATCATTACTATTATTATTATTATCACTGCTACTGCGGTTATTATCGTTACCATTATTATTACTATTACTATTTTCACAAGTATAATAATAATGTTACAATTATTGCAATTGCTATTATGATAATTATTCTTATTATCATTATTATTATTCATTATCGTTACTATTATTATTATCATTACCATCATTCATTCTCCTTCTTTTTTATTATTATCCATTGTTATCTTTATCATCATTATTATTATTCATTAATATTATTCATTGCTATCATTATCATTATTCATTATTATTATTCATTATTACTATTATTATCATTATTATCGTAATTATTACTATCATTGTTCATTATTATTATTCATTATCACTATTATTACTATTGCTATTATTATTACTATTACTATTATTATTATTATTATTAATATTATTATTATTATTATTATCATTATCAGAGTCACCTCATCCAAGTCTATGTCCGGTGTGGTAGGGAACCAGTCCTCCTCATCGATTCTTTTAGAATTTTCCATGAAAAACTGAAAAAAAAACACACAAAAAAATTAGCGCTGGGATTGGGACTATCTTTTTCATAGATTTGAATTAAACATTTGTTTATTCAAAGGACAAAGTGAATATATGCAGGAGGATAAGGAGAGTGAGGAGGTTGAGGAGAAAGGGGGAGATGGAGAAGGAGGAGAGAGAGGAAGAGAAGAAGAAGGAAAAGATAGAGAGGAGGGAAAAGGAGAAGAATGGAGGAGAAGGAGAGGGAAGAGAAGATGAAAGGGAAGGATAGGGAGGAGGGGGAGAGGGAGGAGGAGGAGGAGGAGGAGGAGGAGGAGGAGGAGGAGGAGAAGAAGAAGAAGAACAACAAAAACCAACAACAACAACAATAACAACAACAAAACAACTTAAAGTATGAATAAAAAGAATCTTCATGATCTACACCCCATCGTACACACCACTGCTACCGGTACTCAAAATTCCTTAAAACGCTATTGACCTCGTTAACAACTGCAACCTTTCCTCTTAGCGTGACCTCTGACCTAACTAAACACTATGACCTTTCCTCTGTGCATGACCTCTGACCCCTAGACGTGGCCTCACCTCGTTGACCTGCTGTAGCAGCACCAGCTTCTGATGGCAGACATCTTGGTAGCCCACGATGAAAACGGTCACCTGCTGCTGGTACTGAAACAAGACATTATATATATTTTAAAAAAAAATTCAAGTACGAGTTTTACGGCACTTGCAAAAGAACAAGGTCGTATAAGTGCCGAAGATTAGAAGTGTTACAAGAGAGTAACACACACAAAAAAAGAAGGAGAGGAGATAAAGACGACAGATGTTTGATGGGAAAGAAGAAGCAAACCACACCAGAGCACCTGCCAACCACCCACGAAACAAGACATTATATATATATAT